GCAATGAAAAACAATACCGTGTTGATAATATGGAAGAAAAACCCACAATGCACAAACTAGATTTATTGATGAAAGTGAGACAACAGTTTCGGAATCGTCCTCGATTCCATCTTCGGGTCTGAAGAGGCAAGATAAGGATAAGGATAAGTCCGATATGCGAAGCTGAGCCTCGCCCGGGCTATGGGGGAGCCAGGCCTGTGCCGACAAATGTCGACTCGATCAGAAGAGGCAAGAGAGAGTAAGCGGTATAAGAGGGAAAGGAGGAGAAGCACTCGGGAACCACGGGGCAGGTGAGGACAGGAGAACGGAAGCGAAGGGAGGTCAGATCAGGTCGAAGGATCAGGCGGTCTATGTGACGGGTGACCGGCATAAGGGAAGAGACGAAGGATGTGGGAAGCGAGGAGGCTGTCGGCAGGAGAGAAACTGCTGTTCAAGTTGAAATTGGGCAGCAGCTTAATCAGAGAAGATTCCACCAGTCTGCGGGCATGGACATCAGCGGAAGGGAAGAGAATGCGTGGTGCTTTTCAGTCCATCTGATGGCCAGTGTCCCACTGATGGCAGAAGAGGGCGTTGTTGCTATGTCCCCTGGATACAGCGTACTTATGCTGAGACAGATGCACAGTGGTATGTACATATACTTCTTCTCGTACCATCCACTGCATGTGAAGAGAGGGGTTGCCACCTCGCTGTTTCTTCGTGCCCTCCGCATCTGTGACCCCCAGTACCTGGATGGAGAGATCGACTTCCTGTGTCTATATGCTTTGCAATATTCAGATAGAAACATAACTAAAAGTAGTTGAAAAATCTGGGATATCAAGTCTCATAGCATCAACTACATTTTTAAAATACTGTTGCTTGTCAGAATGTTTAGCATGATCTAACGATCTTCTGTGTAGCTGTACGTATTTCATTCTGGTGTAGGGAGCTGATATCTTAATCTCATCAGCTACATTTGTGTCCCTCTCGCTGACCGCCTATCGAGTTTTCTGATGGGTTAGCTTGACTTGCGTATCCAGGGAGAGCACAAGAAAGGATCCCATTTTTACAAGTTTGGCAATTACTGTTTATGAGAGCAGATTTTTTATTTGATTGTTTTCAGTGAGAGTAGCTAAGCAATCAGATCTCAGCCTCAAGCAGCGCCTGGGTGGCATGGAGAGAGGCTGCCGTGGACGTTGCTTTTTACCTTATTTATGAGGTTTTTACCTCGTGGGAACGGAGTGGATATGTAGTGGATTGGTGATGAATGTGGTGAGGTGATAGAGGAGGTAAAAATCGGGCATGGTGCAAAGAAAGGCAGGAAAACCCTATACTGAAAACAGTGTTATACTGCTTTCCCATTTTTTCTACTCACCCATAAAGATTAGATAAGGGTAAATCATTCTTCACATATTCTTATTTTATAAGCTTTTTACTAAAGAAGAGAAATCCTTTTTACATAAATTCAAATATGTAAAAGATATTATAACAATAAAGAAAAAAAAGGTTTCTTGACAATATCACAAACCTAATAATAATTCATCACAAGTACATAAATTAAGAAAAGCTACATCATATGGCTATGAATGAAATCACAGGTTGTATCTTAATAAAACATCACAATATAAACATGGACCCACAGTGTAATTTCATTTTCCTTTCCGAAGAACTGAAGTGATCCAGTGCCAAACAAAAATGGACAGGTTTCCAATCATATATCATTAATTGGCCTATTCATTTTTAGCTGAACCCAGAGGCTGTCGAAACGGCATCCGAAACGGCTTATGTGTGCCTCTAGAAGCTGGAGATTTCAGTGACCGCAATGCTGATGGAGTTCCGTAGGTTCCCAGGACCTTAAACTTGCTGCGTATTTCCCTTGAACGTTGCTGCAATCTGCCGAGACATGTGCTTGGTGTGCTGTTTTTGTGCTCTTTTTCTGAATCACCCTGTGCATTCTCGGGAACAACTGATTCTTGAACCTTCTCCCGGCCAACCCTGCTCTCCTCACCTGATGGGGAAGTACCTCTCTCGGGTGAAGCTCTTTCATTTTGGCCATCTTAACTTCAATAGCTCCCTCACACAGAAGAGTCTTATATAGAAAAAATTGTCACTGTTTACATTCCATAGAAATGACTTGTGGGTTTCCTTTTTCTAATTAGGAAAGATTTTGTAATATATATATATATATATATAAAAATTATATATATATATATACTTATAATATATCCAATAAAATATATATAGTATATAATATAATATTGAATCTTTACTATAGTACTATTATGTTAGTATATATATATATAATTATATATAAAGTAAATATATATGATATAATTGTTAATAATACTAACGTAATATACTAGCTATAAATATATATAATATACTATACTATTACTAGTATATACATATACAATCATATACAATCAATACACACACTAAATTCATACATACAATACACACACATCAAATAATACATAACATCAACTAAACATAACACACATACATACACACACATATATACATA